ACAGTCAGGAGAGGGAGAGAGAGAGGGGGTGGGAGAGGGAGAGGGAGAGGGAGAGAAGTTCGTTTCTGATGGAGAAGTGTGGCAGTTTGGACACACTTCGGTCGTTTCCTGATGAAGGCTCGGTGTCGGTATCCGGGTACAAGCAGAGTCTGGACAACAGCCATAATCATCATCATCATCGATTGATTGAGCGGCAGTTGAGTTCGATTACTACTGCTACTACTACTCCTACTCCTACTCCTAGTACTCCTACTACTAGTACTTGTCGGAGGAGCAAATGCAGCGATAGAAATATTATGGACGATATAATGGGTAACGCGGAGGATTTCAGAGATTTCGTGGAGTCGGATTCTGACCGCGATCCCGGCGACGAGGAGGGCGATGAAGCCGTAGGCACTGCTTCCGCTGCGGCTGCTGCTGCTGCTGCTGCTACTGCTACTGCAAATGACGCCGCTGCCCTGCTTCGTGGGGGGAGGACTCGTTTCCAGGGGGACCTCCGTTCGCCGTAAGTGATGCCTGCTCGCTCAGCCGTTGGCATAATCAGTATAGCCGTGGTCGCCTGAGCGGCACTGCTGCGGCGCGCTTCGTCTTTTCTCTCTCTCTCTCTCTCGCTCTTCGTCGTCCACACACCTGTTAATCCACACATCCATCTATCCATCCATGTATGCATCAATCAATCCATCGATCTATACAGCAAATCTATCCATCAATCAGTCGACCCATGTTTGTCGCCCAGTCTGATTACACCTACCTATCAATCTACCCTTTAATGTGTCCATCCATCTATCTATCAATCAATCTATCCATCCATCCATCCATCCGTCCATCATTTTCTCTACATCTTTGCGTCCATCAATCGCTTGCTATTGAGTCGCCTTTTCTGTGGAACGCCATTGGCGTCCGCACACGTCGTCATGCTCGTCGAATCAATCAGTCAATGAATGGATGGATGGAGGAAAGAATCAATCAACCATTTCAATCATAAACAATTGTTGACTAATCGATCCATCCATCCCATCCATCCATCCATCCATCCATCCATCCATCCATCAATCAATCAATCAATCAATCAGTGGATCAATCAATCAATGAGATCAATCAATCAGTGAGATCAATCAATCAGTGGATTAATAAATCAATTATGTAAAACAATTAGTCAGTAACTTTATCAATTAATGAAAGCAATCCGTGACACTTCTATCTGTCTGAGGGTTATGGGCATTTGCACCTGATCGGTTAGCTATGGTGGCGTTGCATTGCAAGGACGATCTCTCTTCTGGGAATGACGATGGTGATGATGATGATGGTGATGAGATGATGATGATGATGATGATGATGATGATGATGATGATGGTGATGAGATGATGATGATGATGATGATGATGATGATGATGATGAGATGATGATGGTGATGGTGATGATGCTTTTTTTTTTCTTTTCTTGATGAAGATTTTAATTAAGAAGTGGAGGGGAATGAATGTGTACTGTGAGAGTGTAATTTGAGGTCTTTATCTTGTCTGCATTTGTCTGTCTGTAGTCGTGTGTGCATTTGTCTCTGTATGCTTGCTCCTGGCTGCGTGTTATGGCAGACTGACTCTGCGGTCACCTTAAATGCGTCCGACCGTAAATGCTGTCCGATGCATTTAAGGTATTGCTCCTGGCTGCGTGATGTACACTAGAAAACTTCATGCGAGGAGGCTCTAATCATAGAGAACAGAGAGGGAAAAAAAAACGAATTAAAAAAAAAAGAGAAATAGATGCACAGAAGAAGTCAGGCTGTGAAAAAAAAAGAAAAAAAAGAAAAAAAAAGAAAAAAAAAAGAAAAAAAAAGAGAAAAAAAAAAGAAGTCAGGCTGTGAAGGCAGACAGACTGTTTATTAGAAAAACAGGATCCTGTCTGTGCATACGTAAGGGCATACTCACACTAGGACTTTTTATTTATTTAAATGGACGTAATTGCGGTCAGATACATTCAGGTCCGACCGTGAATGCGGTCCGCTGCATTTATTTAATGTAATATATAGAGCTACCGTCTTCACCCGGATAGAACGCCTGGTCATTATGGCTGTATCTAGACTGGAAGTTGGCCCAAATTCAGCTATGATGACCGGGGGTTATATTCGCGTGAAGACGGTAGCGCGAGAACGCCCTAAGAAGGCCCCTCGTATTTACAGAGAAAAGAAATGCAAAACGAGAACGCCTCAGAGCATACTCACACTCTACTATCACAATCTGAAGTGTATCTGACCGTAACTACGGCCATATACTTGGATGTATCTGACGCACTTAGGACCAGAAACAAGTAAAAAAAGTCCTAGTGTGAGAATGCCCTCATATTTACAGAGAAAGACATGTTCACAAGAAGGCCTCATATATACAGAAGAG